CTGCCGTAAACTGACTTTTCCATGGAGTTTGAGTTTGCCTTTGTTTTTATGTGCTGGCTTTCATGAAGAGGGGGACCTTTGTTTTTCTTCTAGAAATGTGGGCTGAGGACACGCAGTAGAAAAATAGCTTATATTTCATTATAAAAATAAAACTTGTCCAGTGCAAAAAATATGGAAAACAGGGAAAACATAAGACGTGTTAAAATTGTGCCTGGTGTCCTGGTCTCCAACATTCTCTAGGTTCCTTCCCTTCCTCCACTTTTTCCAGATAAATTCTTGCAGGTATAATCTTAGTTTGTTTCCTGACTCTTTCCACAGGTATAGAATCATGTTCCACGTATTTTCCATATTGTTTTCACCAGTTAGACATTGCCTTCAGATTCTACTCTTTTTTCCCCCCTCAAACACTTTACCACGAAAACTTGTAAACGTGTAGCAAAGGTGAGAGAATTTTACAGATAACATTATCCACCACCCAGACCCGGCCACGTCACATTTTCCCTCCATAGATATTTATCAAGGGCACAGCATATGTGAGTCCCTTGTTAAGTGTAAGGACTTGGAATGAATTAAACAGAGTCCCCGCCCTCGGTAACCAGAGTACCCATTAGGAATACAGACAGACAGACAGTCACTGTTATAGTAAGCTGGACATAAGGTGAGACAAGCGCCACATGGAGCTAAGCAGTGTTCAGGATGACATGGGACAACGTTTTGCCGGCAGGTGGATTTTGTCTCTTTCCTTCTGTTTGAACGATACTGTGAAGAAAACCCTCCCCATACGTGGTGTCTACTCTGCATTATGTCCTTAGAGTCTCAAAATTATGTCAGAGGGAAGGAACATTTGGAAAACGTGCTCGTCTGTGCTTTTTGCCAGGGCGTTTCTTGAAGGATTAGCGTTACATCTAAAAGATGGTTGAAGGGGGCTGGGCCTTCCTTCCTTTTGGGCTCTGGGATGGAGCTGGATGGACCCGGTGTGAATCAAAGTTCCATTGATTACTAATTGGATGACCTTGGAAATGTTACAGGAGCTCTGAACTTTGAGAGTTTTCCTCATCTGTAAAATGGGATTAAAAGGTATCCACCTTCTAGAGTCAGGGGGAAGATAAAGTG